TTGGTACAACAGAAAGTGTTCATTTTGTGAGCTTCGCTAGATTGCTCCGGTCACTAGTATGGATAAGTATGTAAATGGATAGAGACAGGGAAGCAAACATAAGATGTACGTGGTTCACCCAGATTGGCTACGTCCACGGAGTAGAGGAGTTCTCATTAATTGTGAAGGGTTTACACAAGTACATAGGTTCAAACTCTCCTTTTGTTAGTACTAGTGAATGATTTAGTACAAATGACGTTAGGAAATATTGTGAGAGAATGATCTCTGTTTATAGAAAAGAGTTTCTAGTTTCATTCTGACATTGACACGTGTCGTGTTGTGATTGGCTTCTGATGTTAACACGTGTCGCGCTATGATTGGCTTATGATGTCGACACGTGTCGCGCTGTGATTAGCCTTTTGGTTGGAGGGAAACTCTTTTGGATCATTGACGGTATAACGTTGACCGATGCTCAGTAGTTTCGGGATTGGTCAAGTATGGTACAAACACTTAGTATATCTGTGATGGGTGATCACTGCCTATATTATTAGATTATGCATATGGTTCTGGTATATCCGCAATACGGGACCATATGTATTCAGGGGTGATCATGCTTGGTATATTTGCGATGGGTGATCACTGCCTATATTATTAGATTATGCATATGGTTCTGGTATATCCGCAATACGGGACCATATGTATTTAGGGGTGATCATGCTTGGTATATTTGCGATGGGTGATCACTGCCTACATTATTAGATTATGCATATGGTTCTGCATGGTATATCCGCAATAGGGGACCATATGTATTTAGGGGTGATCATGCTTGGTATATCTGCGATAGGTGATCACTGCCTGCACGAAGAGATTATGCCTATGGTTCTACTTGGTATATCCGCGATGGGGGACCATACGCATTTTAGAGATGAAGATGATTAGTTTTACTTAGTACATTTCAATAGGCGATCATAATTTAGTTTAGATTCCGTTAAGTGGTCCGGAATCGTATCCTAGATTGGATTCCATTAAGTGGTTCGGAATCCTTACTCTTGCTCATTTCCATAAGTTAGACTAGAACCCTGGATTCGAGTGAATGGGAATTACCCACAATAAACCTTGTGAATATAAATTAGAATTATCAAGTTATTACTTGGAATCTAGGTAGAGAATTATGTAGAATTCCTTTATTAAATTTTGTGCACTGATGTGTGATCTGGTTGACTGATTAACATAATTAAATGTTAATATCGTGCCTCATTGATTCATGGAATGGGTTACTTAAGGTGATTGTGGAATGATATTAAATGTGATTGTTATTAATACGATTAGATCAGTGATCAATGCGACTAGAGGATACTATTGTGCTTTGTTGATTCTTTGAGGTATAACATGATATGAATTGTGATTTTATGTTGAAACATAATGATTTATATGATGGATGAAATAGAAACCTTGATTGTCATGTGAGTTGTTATGTAGCTTGAATCGAATAATTCATGCTTGTCAAGTCCAAATATTCGATTGAGGAATGTTATGCCTTTCGGCTTGAACGGACTGTGATATATGTCAAGTTGTAGCGAAGGACGAACTACGAATGACTTGATCCTTGTTGAGGGTACGTAGGCAGTCTAATGAGGAGATTAGATGTAGCCATAAAGTATACGAAAAATTACTATGCGATTCGATTCTTGAGTTATGCTTCGTACATATCCCGGAGGCGAGATCTGTTGAGTATATGGTTACTTGGTGGTGTGACAAGAACCATCAAAGTTGAGTTTATAGAAACCATCTGCAGGAGTAGTCCATTTGATAATGCTCTTCTGATTTAGGCACTTGCACTTTGTAGGCATCGAATTTGCTTTGTGGAAATTGTTTGCAATAGTGGCATCCATCATGATACAACGGGTTGGATGTAGATTTACTGATGAAAACAACATTATTTCTGTCATTCGACATTTACCAACAGAGCACAAGAATTTTACTAAGCTTAGAGAGCTCCTCCTTATCAACATGGGAAACATTATAAAGCCAATAATTTAAATTAGCAATAAAAAAAGGAGAAGAAATGTTACTACAAACTTTCCAAACCTCCTGAGCTTAAGGATGGTATGCAAAACGATGCAGCTGATCTTCATCGAACCATCTCCAATCGAATAGTCCAGAGGGCCGAAAATAGCCTGAAAACCGTCTCCAACTGAGGGTCAGTCCAAATGGCTCATGGGCCCCACTAGACAAAAAAGGGCCAAAGGACTAACCGGGCTGCCCACATGCTGATGTCATATTTGATTTTTTTTTTAACATTAAGTAACATGAAACAACATGAAACAATATTAAACAACATTAAATAACATTAAATAACATTAAGTAACATTAAACAACATAAAAAAAATTAAAAACATGAAAATTATTGACAATCCATAACATAAAATTATTGAGGTAATTTAATTTAAGTAACCATAGTAATTCAATTAAAATAATAAATTATATTTGGATCTCGGTTGGAGATGATTTTTTGTGACAGGACTATGCTTGGCTTGACCTTCGGTTGGAGACGGTAAGAAATATGGCCCTGCACTATTTATTAAAATATTAATTTCTTGGAGGGCCAGATGGCTACAACGAGCCATCTGACCCTCATTCGGTTGGAGATGATCTCAGAAGCATTACATGAAGGACATAATGAAACCCTACTAGAGCTGCATCTACTTAGTTTTAGGGGTAAAAGACTGTTTACTACCCTTATATTTCGTGGTTTTCAACATTTAGTACATCAAGTTTTTTTCGTCTCAGATTCATACCTAAAGTGTAAATTTTGGGACAGTCTCATACATCCGTTAGTCAAACTGTTAAATCTGCCGTTAATTGTGACGTGGCGCCCATGTGGACAATGACTGGGCGCCACGTGTCATCCACGTTTTTTTTTTCTTTCTTTCTTTCTTCTTCTTCTTCTTCTTCTTCTTCTTCTTCTTCTTCTTCTTCTTCTTCTTCTTCTTCTTCTTCTTCTTCTTCTTCTTCTTCTTCTTCTTCTTCTTCTTCTTCTTCTTCTTCTTCTTCTTCTTCTTCTTCTTCTTCCTCTTCCTCCTGCAACTTTTTATTTTCTTCCTACTTCTTCCTTCCCCTTCTTCCCCTTCTTCCTTCTTCTTCCTTCTCCTTCTCCTTCTCCTTCTTCTTCTTCTTCCATCGAATCTGCCCAGATTCAGTTTTTTTTTCTTTTTTCTTCTTTCTTTTTTCTTCTTCCTCCTTCTTCCTCCTTCTTCTTCCTTCTTCCTCCTTCTTCCTCCAGCTGCAACTTTTTTTTTCTTCCTCCTACCCCTTCTTCCTTCCCCTTCTTCCTTCTTCTTCTTTTTCTTCCTCTGAATTTCGGGAAGATGAAGGTTTTTTTATTTTTTAATTTTTAATTTTTAATTTTTTTGAGGAAGATGAAGAAGAAGAAAAAGGAAAAAGGAAGAAGGAAGAAGGAGAAGAAGGGGAAGGAAGAAGGAAGAAGGAGAAGGAAGAAGGAGAAGAAGGAGGAAGAAAAAAAAAAGTTGCAGTCGGAAGAAGAAAAAGAAGAAGGAAGAAGAAGAAGGAAGAGGAAGAAGAAGAAAAAAGAAAAAAGAAAAAAAAAACTAAATCTGGGCAGATTCGGAGGAGGAAGAAGAAGAAGAAGAAGAAGAAGAAGAAGAAGGAAGACGAAGGAAGAAGGGCAAGAAGGGGAAGGAAGAAGGAGAAGAAAGAGGAAAATAAAAAAAAAAAACTTCCCCAGATTCGGAGGAAGAAGAAGAAGAAGGAGAAGGAGAAGGAGAAGGAAGAAGAAGGAAGGAAGAAGGAGAAGGAGGACGAAGGAAGAAGGGCAAGAAGGGGAAGGAAGACGAAGGAAGAAGGGCAAGAAGAAGAAGAAGGAAGACGAAGGAAGAAGGGCAAGAAGGGGAAGGAAGAAGGAGAAGAAAGAGGAAAAAAAAAAAAAACTTCCCCAGATTCGGAGGAAGAAGAAGAAGAAGAAGAAGGAGAAGGAAGAAGAAGGAAGGAAGAAGGAGAAGGAGGAAGAAAAAAAAAGTTATAAGAAGAAGAAGAGGAAGAAGGAAGAAGGAAGAAGGAAGAAGGAAGAAGAAAGAAAGAAAGAAAGAAAGAAAGAAAGAAAGAAAGAAAGAAAAAAAGAAAGAAAAAAAAGAAAAAAACGTGGATGACACGTGGCAACCAGTCATTGTCCACATGGGCGTCACGTCACAATTAACGGCAGATTTAATAGTTTGACTAACGGATGTATGAGACTGTCCCAAAATTTAGGCATGAATCTGAGACGAAAAAATTTGATGTACTAAATGTTGAAAACCACGAAACATGAGGGTAGTAAACAATCTTTTACCCTAGTTTTAGGTTTGTGGAATGGGAGAGTCTCTTTAACATTTTCAAAAAAATTATACAAACCAATCTTAATTAAAGTAATATTTATTCACAATCCTAAGGTGGAGGTACGAATTTGGAAGTTTGCATTCTTTCCATGAATGTTGGACGCAGTGAGCAATTGGTTGGATTGCGCATAGAATTTCCCATCGTATATTCGATTTGACCAGGATTTTTTGTTTTGTGAAAAAAAAAACGATATTATCTAACATCAAGAGGGTGAGAGAGCATGTTAAACTTTATAATTGGTAACAATAATGAAGTTCAAATTCTCATGACGAGAATCGAATCTAAAACCACTTACTTATGAGTGAAGAAAAAAAATCATTAGACCGCAATACCAAATGACGATTTGAAACCAGGGCATGATATTGTTATTTGGTCACAAAAGAAATTAACACTCTTAATTCATAGGCAATTGATTTTCAAATAAATCCAACCAAAAAATGTAAAATCAATTTGGACCGTTGAGATTTGCAATCGTAGGGTCAAATTTCATGAAGCTTCCAGTTCCATCCATTTTGCGTTGAATAATTTACTGGAAGACCGTACAAACGCGCGCACTCATACTAACCACGAATCCAATGGCGTCGTCTCAAAACAAACAATATAAACTCTCAAAGAGCCAAGACCTTTCCTTCTACTTTCTAGCCATGGCCATGGCTTCTTTGAGCTCTCTCCCTCACTCTCTACAGTCCTCGCCTTCTACTTCTTCTGCAAACTATGTTATTCCAAGCAAACCACCCTGCCCAAAACGCCTCCGTTTTGGTTCGTCAAATCGCCGTCACACCAAAAGCTTTGCTCCGAGAGCAGCTGTGGACGAGGTTTCTGTTCTCGAACCGCCGCCACCACAGCCGCCGTCTTCCGGAAGCAAAACCACGCCCAACCCTGAACTTGTAGCGTCTTTAAAGCTCAACCTATTGGTACGTTCTCAACCTATTGGGCATTTTTCTTTAGCTTGCTCAATTTTTTTTTCCAGTTATGGATTTGATTGCATTTGGTACAGTAATTTTATACTATTTTGGAATTTGGATGCAAATCAAGTAGTTGGTAACTTGGTGGTGAAATCATTGTACTTTTGTGTAAATGTTATTGGTATCTCATTACAAATTCTCTGCAGCATGCTGTTATGTTGAAACATCCACATCGATCGTATCTATGTGAAAAGAAGTGTTTAAATATCTTAACTTCACTCCAACTAATATCAAGGCCTTTTGTGATAAAACCCCACACCTGACGGATTGTGCAGGTGCCAGGTGGTAATTACCAAGGGGACAATATTGGTGTTGTTGGGAGTGGTGTCCTTCAACACAAGGATAACTCTATTTGGTATTGTTGGGTTCCTTTGTACTTCCCTATGATTATATGAGTTTTTCGCTTTGTGTCGAGTATTGGTTTTATGATCAGAGGACAACAGTAATCATGTTTGTGCTTAACAATTGTGAGTTAAATATTTTGGAATGAGTATATGAAGGCTGATATTACTAGTATAGGATTTCAATAGAGGCTCTTGAAAAGCCTTTTTAAATTTTTTGGTCACTTATGTTTGTAATTCAGTTTATTAACTCTTCTTAGAAAGTTGATTTTGCAACAAGGTTCTTGATATACGGATTCATCAGTAATTTCCTATCTGTGGAGCAAAATCAAATCATGTCCTCCAATTTACATCTCTTTTATATCACAGCTTCATCTTTAAAGTATGGCTTTAACTGTTGTCACATAAAATGGCAATGTGCACATGCGCTCTTGTGGTAGTCATGGTCCTTATTTATGTGAATTTAACTGTTTGTGCTTTCTACCATCATTTTTTCAATTTGTGTCTAATCCGATGCAGAGTGCTGTTTCTGGGCTAAATAGAGGTCTTGCAGCATCGGGAGAGGATCTACAAAAGGCAGAAGCTGCTGCCAAGGAGATTGAAGCTGCTGGAGGTCCAGTGGATCTCTCAACTGATCTTGATAAACTGCAAGGGAGATGGAAATTGATATATAGCAGTGCATTTTCTTCTCGTACTCTAGGTGGGAGCCGTCCTGGACCTCCCACCGGAAGGCTACTCCCAATTACCTTAGGCCAGGTATTCATCTACTATATTCCTGGACGCCATTGATATGCTTTCACCCATTTGCATGTTTGCTAACTATGAACACCAATTGAAATATTACACCAATATATGAACACCAAGTGACTTTACCTGATCCTTTTTAGAAACTCATACGCCCCAAAGCCCACAAAGTCTTTTAAGTTTATCTTACATTGCCGGTCCCAAGCCCGGATAAAGGAGGAGGGGGAGGGCGTCAGGTAGTCGACAGCCGGCACTCCACAGTTATGTCGAATCCTTATGACAATGAATCCAGAACGAAATCGCGCTAAAGCTAGGACGTCACCCGTAAGTGGCGCGCTATGTGGCCCGAGCACAGTAATAAGTGAGCAAGGGTCGCTGTATCTCCATCGGCACCCGGATGCAGTGTTAAATGAGCAAGGGGGCCATAGAAACTTCTTTTCGAACGACTCCACTCAAAGTTGTTTGGGAGCATATGCTTCTATCAACTTTACACAGGACACACAAAAAAAGTACTTTGATCCTATTAGACGGGGGATGGTGAAGAAGCTAGGACAGAAGGGTACAGGTCAAGAGAGTAGAATGCGTTTAGGAACGTGGAATATAGGAACCTTAACGGGAAAATCTATGGAAGTAGTGGAAGTTACGGTGATTTGGACATGTGCAAAGAAGACCTACTGATGCTCCAGTTCGAAGATGTGACCACGGGACAGAGGTTCAGGGCCGAAGGGGTAGAGAAAGACCTAGGAAAACTTTGGAAGAGACACTAAGAAAAGACTTAGAGTACTTGGATCTAACAGAGGACATGACACAAAACCGAGCGCAATGGCGTTTTAGGATTCATATAGCCGACCCCACTTAGTGGGAAAAGGCTTTGTTGTTGTTGTTGTTGTTGTTGTTGAGTCTGCAAAACCATTCCAGATTGCATCATTAATTCGAATTTCCTTCACCATAGCTTTAGGAAGTTGATCATTTGTACTCTTTATTAGCGTGGATCTTTTTCCACTTACCTCCTTCCCGTATCCTGTTTGCAGTGCCCAGCAAGCATGAAAACTTTTTCTTTGGTAAGGAAGAAACCATGCAGGATAGAAAGCCATAGACTAATACAGAAACTTCACGCGGAAAAATACAGAGGCTCTACTCTCAGTAAACCATATTGTATAAATGTGCGGAGGATTACCTGAGGAATCTGTTTGAACCTGTCTTTCTTTTGTAGTTAAATTGTCCATTGTAGCTAACGAAGTTCTGAAGTAAAATTTTGGAATAGTTCGTTTGAAATATATTAAATTTGTTCGACCTCAACTTGGGCCTAGGATTTCAAATAGCAGCAGCATATGTCTATGTATCCCTTGATAATACGCGTGCCCGCACGCACAACATACGAACAGTTGGAAGGGGGAACGTCTAAGATCTGCTATGTGAAGGTGTAGTAGATCATCTGGAACTTAAATTAACGGTTTTATGAATTAAGTAAACTCAGATAAACAACCTACATTGTTAGATTTTAACTGGTTAAGATCTTCTGTCCGACCCTGTGTTGTTTAGTCCTTGTCATTGTTTTACATCATACCAAAATTTACCATGTATTGAATATTCGTTATTCGTTGATGATTTTGCTGTTCCGAAAGTAACATATGTTATGCAAATAGGTATTTCAACGGATTGATATCTTCAGCAAAGACTTTGATAACATAGTGGAGCTTGAACTAGGTGCTCCATGGCCCCTGCCGCCCGTTGAAGCAACTGCCACTTTGGCCCACAAATTTGAACTCATAGGTACTTATGAACTCTCTTATTTGGTGTATTTTGGTTTACGTAGCAACTTATGAATGTGACATGAACCAATGAATGACCTTTTAATAATTACAGGATCTTCCAGGGTTAAGATCATTTTTGAGAAAACTACTGTGAAGACTACTGGAAACTTATCGCAGCTTCCTCCATTAGAGTTACCTAAGTTACCAGAAGGACTACGACCTCCGTCTAACCCAGGAAGTGGTGAATTTGACGTTACCTACCTTGATGCTGATATCCGCATCACCAGAGGAGATAGAGACGAGCTAAGGGTTTTTGTTGTTTCATAGTTTCTTGTTAGTTTCTTTTCCTACTTCCAATGTATCTCCATCTGTTTTGCCTCGCGTCTTCTTGGTGTCGTTTGATCATATGTTGTTACTTCCAATTGTTGTATGCATGAACCGGTGGATGGAAGTTCCAGGAAATGTTCAACGAGGAACAACACTGTATACATGTAAATTTTGTAATCGATAAAGTGAATCGTCTTTGTCACTTGGATTGTATCTGCATTGCCTTTTCAAGTGATATCTATAGGAGTTTTAGGCACACTGGCATTCAGCAGTTTTGCTGCTGGTTTATCCAAATTTTAATGGTTGTGGCCCTTGTGGGGTGTTAGATATGAGTTTTAGCTGAATCTTGACGTGTTTAACACAACAAATAAAGACATTACTTTTATCAACATTTGAGGGGAGTATTGAATTGTGTTCTGTAGATGTGGTTGTTAAATTAGGCAACATTTTAAAGTGCATTGTTAAAATTTAAATCTAGTCTATGATGTAGTGGACCAAATATTTTTGGTGACGATTTTCGCATTGCTATTTTATTGAATTTTCTGCATTTGCGATTGAGGGTAATCAAAGTATAAAAACAAGATGTTGAGCTAGAAATGCCAAAATTAAAGTGTGAAAATCGTTATCTTGTTTTTTGTATCCTTATTAAGTGGGAAAACAATATATACTTACAAAGGTAGTTGAATTTGTGTGTGCAATGGACAACAAGTGCATTTAGAGTTAATTAATACTTTTTCCCAATGTGAAACGATTTGACCCACCACTCCCAAGTCAATTTTGAAAAATAAAATAAATTAAAATAAAAAATAAAAGAAGAAAACTAGACGTTACAAATGACAACGGCTATATTTTTGTTTCACAGTTTTGAGTAGAATTCTGAAAGCCCCTCGTTTTCAAATTACATGCCCTTCCAAGACTCTTCCTTTTTCATCTCTCTTTCTCTACCTTCCTTTCTCTCTCCCACTCTCATCGTCTCTGTAAATCCAGATCAAATCTTGAATTCTTGAACCTTACAAATGGCTCCGACGCCGTCTTCTTCCAAATCAAACCACTCCCACACAACCCAGTTCAAGACTCCGCTATCCAAGCACCGCCTCCAGTTCCCCAAAGTGCACCCATCTCCGAACCCAAACTCCGCCGTAAAAGATCCACCAGCGGAGCACCCGGTCGAAGTTCTAGCCCGAATCCGAGACCACCCAGATCGAAAAGAACAACCCGCATCGGTTCTCCAGATCAATCCTCAGAGGCAGAGTATTCGTGTCCGGGCCGATTTTGGGTACCGGGATTTCACGCTCGATGGGGTTTCGTTATCGGAAGAAGACGATTTGGGGACGTTTTACAGAAAATTTGTCCAGTCCAGGATTGACAGTGTGAAATTGGGAGAAAAATGTACGATCATGATGTACGGCCCAACTGGGTCGGGCAAGAGTCACACCATGTTCGGGTGTTGCAAGCAGCCTGGGATCGTTTACAGGTCGTTGAAAGATGTTCTTGGGAATGGGGAAGATGACGGTGGTGCTGCGGTTGGGTCGTTTGTGCAGGTCACTGTTTTGGAGATTTACAATGAGGAGATTTATGATTTGTTGCCGAGCAACAGCGGCGGGGGATTCGGGTATGGATGGCCAAAGGGCAATGGCTCCAATTCTAAGGTGATAATTTTAGCTGAGTCTCCCTTTTTTTATCGAGTTCTTGATGATTTATGAGTCTTCCATCAAATTTTCTCTCTCTGTAGATCTGTAAGTTTGGATTTGGAAATGGGTTTTCTGCAAGTTTGAATTTTAAGATTTGTTTGTGTTGGCTCACTGTAAATTTCATTAAATTGGTTGTGTTGGCTTAAATTAGAGAGAACTTGTTATATCACTCTTAAGACTGTCAATTTTTAAGGATAAATTATTGTGAACTCCGTGTAAATTTGGTTTAGCTGCTTGTTGGCTAAAATCGAAGGAAATTGCTCCAGTTCTAAGGTGATTTGATTTGGATTTCGAAATGAGTTTTCCGTCGAATTTTGGATTTTTAGCTTTGATTGTGTTGGCTCACTGTAAGTTTGGCTAAGTTGGTTATGTTGGCTTAAATTATTGAGAACTCATGTACAAATCTTATAGGCTGTCCTTGTTTGAAGGTACATAGTTTTGCTGCAATTTTCTGTACTAATAATTGTGTCTGCAGGTTAGGCTTGAAGTTATGGGGAAGAAGGCAAAGAATGCAACCTACATTTCTGGAAATGAAGCTGGGAAAATTTCAAAAGAGATTCAGAAAGTGGAGAAAAGAAGGATTGTTAAGAGCACCCTTTGCAACGATAGAAGTTCTCGAAGCCATTGCATGGTAGATTCCCTTGAACTTTCAACTATATGGTAATTCTTTCCGAGTATTGTTATGTCACTAGTTGGATGTGACTTGCTTTCTATTTCTGCATAGATAATCCTTGATGTCCCAACAGTGGGAGGACGCTTGATGCTCGTGGACATGGCTGGATCTGAAAATATTGAGCAAGCTGGCCAAATTGGGTTTGATGCAAAAATGCAGGTAATTTCTCGGTGGTGGTGGTTAATCCATGCTTGTATTGTTGCAACAATTTCTTTGGCATTGTAACGATTGCTTATTTTTGCTTACATTGAATTCACAGACTGCAAAGATCAACCAGGGAAACATAGCTCTGAAAAGGGTGGTTGAATCCATTGCCAATGGTGATTCTCATGTGCCCTTCAGGGACAGCAAACTGACCATGCTTCTACAGGTAACTTCTATTCACACTGATGCCAGTTACTAAGGTTTATATGGTGCCTTTTAACCTTGTAAGAATACGTGGATGATGGTTCTTACGTTCTTTCTGTACAGGATTCTTTTGAGGACGACAAGACAAAAATCTTAATGGTCCTGTGTGCAAGTCCAGACCCAAAGGAGATACACAAGACAATCTCCACCCTTGAATATGGTGCAAAAGCAAAATGTATTGTCCGCGGACCTCATACGCCAATCAAGGACAAAACTGGGACCGAAGATTCATCTGCAGCTATTTTAGGATCAAGGATTGCTGCCATGGATGAATTTATCCTTAAACTGCAAAGGGAGAATAAGCTCAAAGAGAAAGAGCGGAATGAAGCACACAAGGAGCTAATGAATAAAGAAGAAGAGGTTGCTGCATTGAGGTCTAAACTTGAGCTTGTGGAAGGGAAGGGATCAGGGGCAAAGGAGGAAGAAATCAACTTGAAGGTGAATGAAGTGGCCCAGACTCTGAAAAATGAGTTGGAAAAGAAGTTGGCAGAATGCCAGAGAATGGCGAATGAGTTTGTTGAACTCGAGAGAAGGAGAATGGAAGAAAGGATATTGCAACAGCAGCAGGAAGTTGAAATGCTGAGGCGGCGGTTGGAGGAAATTGAGCTTGAACTGTGCCGCTCAAGCGATGGAAATGGTAAGGAAAGCGGGTGGTCGAAGGAGCCTGATGGAACGCAGTTTGCCAAAAGGTTGTTAGGAATCTATGCCAGTGATGATGCAGGAGGAATGGTAAAGTCAATGGATTTAGACATGGATGATCAAGAAACGTTTACTCGGGAGATCAAATATGTAGGAGTGGTACCTGGGGTTGCTTATCCATCTGACAGCAATAATGTAAACACTGCACACATTGATTCTTTTGAGCCAAAATATGCTGACAGGGTATGCCTGAGCACTGTTTTTGAGGAAGAAGAAATGGAAGAAGAGGAAGGAGCTAACAAAAATGTGGAGGCTGAAGAGGTTGAGAAAGAAGTTATAGAGGAAGAGAGAGTGTGTATGGTTGATGGATCTAGCTTCAGTAGTAATTATAATGTGGACTCCCTGACATCGTTACCTCAGGATTATCAAGATACACCAACTGTGCTTTGGCAAAGCAGAAATCCGGAGGAAGAAGATAACAATGGAAAACCAGATGATAGGCTTGTCAGAATCTGCAACATATTTACACTCTGTGGAGATTACAGAGAGATCTCTCAGCATATCGCACGTCCAGCACCTACTGTTGCATCAGTTAAATCAGAAAATGAGCAGAAACTGGCAGAATCAGAGACAAACAAAAGCCGAGTGTGTGATGAGACAGCATTGGCCTCCAGGGAAAACTACGACCCTTCAAATGAGGGCACTGACTCGGATACTACTGAAGTGTATGTGAAATGGGAAGCTTCAAAAGAAAATCCAGGGAAGTTCATTACAACACTTAAGGTTGTAAAAGACGCAACCCTTGCTGACCTGCGAAAGTTGATTGAAATCTATGTCGGTGCAGAAAATCAAGCATTCACTTTTGTCATGCTTGGAGTTGGGGTAAGAGTCTCAAACCTCTTAACATGCTAGGCTACACAGTCTATTTTCTCTTACAATTGTATCCTGATAAATATCCTATCATCCATAGAATGCAGCATGATAGGTTGCAACTTATGCGGTTCATTAGTATATTTTCTGTTTTCGATAGAATGCTCTCAAACATAGAATTCTTTAGCCCATTGAGGAACACGAAAAACTCCATCTAACTACTCTGTGGATACTTGATGCGCAGGACCCTAGTGGAGCATCGGTAGAGAAGGAGAAGGAAGCAGCAACTCAGACAACAAAGCTTCCCCTACACAACAATCAATCAAATAGGTACCTGGCCTGCTTGAGGCCACTGAAAGGAATGCAAAGCCCAAGTAGGCTTCTCCCATTAAGTCCCCTCCCATTGAAATCGCTGGAAAACAGGCTACACTCCGACTTCCTGCTTCTCAGTCCATGGTAGTGATTGAACGACACCCGAAGTAGCACCAAACTTAGGTTCTACTCCATATGTTACTGTCAGAAGACATTAGTAGTAGTACTCAGACAGTGCAATTTTTGTAATGAAAATGCACAATATTATATGAGTGTGTTTCTTTTGGTACATATTACTGTTCTGATTACATCATTTGACCAAAACTGTCGTGCCTAAGATTATGTGACCACGAAGGCGCCTCTCTCTGACCAAAATTGACCTATACACCGTAACTCGCTAAAACCATAAAACCTATTTTTCAATGAATTAAATTCATGAAAACATCATAAGAATGTACAACGGACAATTAGATGCAACAATTAAGGAGTTGGCACATCTCAACTTCTCTGCCACCTGCTGATCTATCCTATTGTGTCATGGACTGGCCAAGGTTCTCCGAAGACCAAGAATAGACGCAGGTTAGTTGCCATTCTTGTTCATTGTTGTCGTGGACGGTGGATCCCTCTCAAGTCTCGAGATGGCATCAACGTATTGCTGTATT